AAAAAAAAAATAATAATAAGTAATATAACATAACATAACACAACACAACATAATATAATGGAATGGAATGAAGTTCTGAGACATGCTGTAATGAGGGTGTACTTTGAAAGTGAACACTTAGTGAATGAAGCCCATTAAGACTGTAGTACGCAATTACATGTATATGAAGAGTCCAAGACAGGCAGAGTGCCAGAGACAAAAAAGCAGCCCAGTGACGTTACGTACTTGGGAGTGGAAATTGCTCATTCATAGGATCAGGGATTTACTTTGGAGTGGTAAAATACTCTGGAACTAGACAGACATGCAAGCTGGGCAAACTACAAAAATGCTTGCTATCATTCAACAATAGATCACCTTAAAAATGGCAAATTTTATGTTATATGAATTATACCTCAATATACAGGTATATTAAAGTAATCACCAAAAAGACAAAGTTGTGTTAGGTTCAAACGTTGCATTGGGGGAGTGGGAAGGGAAGAGAGACAGAGAGTGCTATTAGCCCACGTTTGATCATCTGGTTTCTGGTGCTGCTGTTAATTATGTGTTGCTCTTCCCACTTGCTTTAAAAAAAATTTTTTTTTAACTACTTCTAAATAATCTACAAGTTAATTAGCTATGGGACTCAAAGCGAGTAGAAACCATTCTCAGGCTAAGCAAAGCCCTGGCAACTTTAAGAAATTGGCCTCCAAGTGACTGGACAGCACATTTATCTCTGCAGGGACTACGCCTATTGGGTAAATGTAGGCCGCTCCTGAATGTGTGGCCATAACTCGCATAAGGGGCATTTTAATCTGTTCAGCGGCCATGACCAAATTCTTAAGTAGCTTAAACAGCCAGCCTTTCTTCCTGACACTCCTGGGGAGCCGGGGTATGTGATCAGTGTCCCAGTATGAACCTGGCTCAGGAAGAAGCTCAGTGTCCAGTTTGCTCACTTCATGCACTGTGCCTCCTGCTAAGGGGCACCACGGTCCATCAGTGGCTTCACTCCGGGATGTCACTGAACACCGTGTTATCACGCATGCTGGTCCCCACTGCGTGTGGGCTTTCTGCCATGCCTGGCCTCTTTTTAAATCCACTCTTTGGCTCAGTCCCCATTGTCCAGGCTGGACCAGAAACAGCTGCTCTAACTGTCCAGCTCCAAGCCTCTGGGGGTCACTGTCACAGTCAACAAGGCTGAGCTCGCCTCACTTCCTCTTTCCAGGAGCAAAGAAGCTCTGGCACAGTCCTGCTGGCTCCCAGGAAGCCACATCTGTCTCCATGCTTGTAATTATCACTTAGCAAGCACACAGAATGATGACACCACTCTTTTCCTTGCCAAAATGAGACAAACAGAAAACATTGTAAAGCTATTTTTGACATTTTGTGATTCTATTTCAATTAAAAAGCCCAAAAAAACACCCTTGAGGTAGCTGACTTTGTTCTCTCTGTGTACTCTTAACAGGAGCTGTGTGCCCCTCCCTTCTATAGGAGGTCTGTCCCAGCCGGGTGTATGAGAGGGGCAGTAGAGAGGGGCAGAGCCACCATGCCACCCACAGAAGTGGTCAGCATACAGCCTGCCTGTTTGGACTGCCAGGACCAGTATTCCTGACCTTAGTGGAGAAGAAAGTGTGTCAAGCAGCCGGCTTCACGTATCTACAGAAGGCTACTTTTTCTTCATTTATTTCAGAAACAAAGAAATCTAAACACCCCATAGTATCAGAAGTTAATGTAACTGTTTCATGTCTAACCCCTGGCAAACCAATCTTGAGCAAGACCACTGACCAGACTAAACCTCCCCAAGACCACAGCACCAGCCAATAGAATATCCTGAAGATGCTAGGCGGAGAATAAGGTAGCAGAGCTGGCTAGGCCCTGTGTCCATGATGCTGACTATCACAGAAACCCATATCCTGTAGCCATCCCTGGCAAGGTCACCAATCACATCCTACATCAACAATGCTGCCAATGGGCACAAGGCAGTAGAGTGGGAACCCCATGCTTCTACCTCCCCATCAGGGCCCCCCATGAATGCCCCTCCTCTCTTCCTCTTTTAAGCAGGTAATTTTGACTACTACACATTTGTATTTTGTATGTTTCGCTACACTTATGTTAAAGGAAATGAAATTAAAAGGATGAAAAGCAAACCATCTACACTTGGTCCCTCTCACACAACGTTTTGACACGTACTGCACTGCGGCACAGCACTCTCAGTACCGAGCAGCTGAAATAAATGCCCTTTCCACCAGACCTCCACACCCCTCAGAGAAGGAGTATCATGCCAGTGGCTGAACAGGCCTCTCAAGGTATCAGTCTACAAATCACTTAAACTACGGACAGGAACATATTGTTCCAATGGACAGAAAGAGTGGTGAGTACTTTGCCCAAGGATAGGTCACTTATGTGTCCAGCAAAGGGCAGCCTGAGACTCTGGTGTAGTCATCAGAGCACAGGCACCTGGTCTGGGAACTTCAAAAGGTGTGTGTCAGAGCAGTAACAAGCACACAGCACTAAAGGAAGTTAAACACAGTGTCGTTTAATATCTCCATGAGACAAAACAGCCAAGGCTCAAAGGTCCCTGGAAAGTCTAAATCTGAGAAATACCTTTATGAGAATGAGGTGGTTGTAAAATGTTTCCACAGATGTTTTCTAGCATTTCACCTTTAAGAGAACAGGCCTCGCTTTGGGGTGAACCTAAGGGAGGCACACTGTGTGATGAAGACACAGAGCTGGCATGATTCATCCTTGCACTCAATCTTCGGTCCCGCCCTTTAAGCACTTGCAATGGCCATGCAGAAGGGAAAGGTACTCACTGAGGTTTGCGGTGGACCCTGACAGAACCAAGGCCTCCATCCCACAGACCGGGAGGAAGTCCCCTTAGAGGCAGGCTTCCATTCCAAGTTCAGTCAACATGCACAGCTTTACAGTGGACCCAGCAAGGAACACCTCTCCCCGTCCTTCAGTTCCTGGTCCACAAAAAATGTGAGACAATATGGAATTATTGCTTTAAGGGAAAGTTTGGGGCTGTTACATGGCAAGAGAAACAAACATAATTGCATTTCAGCCAATGAAGGACCCACATGCATGATTGTGGTCCTGAAAGAATATACACTAATACAGCACATGCAATTACATGTAGAATACACAGTTCATGAATATGTACAATAATCACACTGGTTTACGTATTCACCATACTTTGTTATTTTAGAGCATCCCCCTAGATAGAAAAACAGCTTTCTGTCAGCTGTGTGACACCTTGATGACCAAGGGTCCATTTCAGGTGACACACACATCCCATCCAGGCTATGTGAATGTATTGGCTGAAGTCTGGACAAAGGAAAAAAAAAACAAAAAACACCTCATGAGGCATTTCTCTAAATGCATACCCATCACTAAATGACATGAGATTGTCTAGAAAGGAAGCATGTGAGATGAAGTCTACAGAGATAACTGTCAAGAAAAGCAGACTAAAAAGTACAAGCCTGTGTTGGGGATAACAGCAGATTCCATGGGAAAGTCAAGTAGAAAGAAACCAGGTACAACCTATGGTCAGGTGCAGGAAAATCTACTGGACAAACAATAGACTGTCTGGAAAGTAGCTGGGCCCTCTGGTACCTTCTAGAGGGTAGTGGTGTCTGTGCCACACCATGGCTGACAAAGAAGAAAGTCATAGTTGAGTGCATCCTACAGGCACGGGCCATCATTCATCCCTTCACACTCCATCCCTAGCTGCAAGTCTGTGTCACGGCCCAGTGACAGACCACAGCATCCATGGGACACAGACACTACACTATGACCCAGTGACAGGCCACACCTAGCACTCTCAAAATGCAAACTTTACCAAGTCACAGAAACACTCTCTGGGAAATCAGTACGCTGGTATCAAACAATGTGAAATATGCCAGTAGAGGGAACAGAAAGAAAACAGTCATCACCAGGTTAAACATAGCAGGTTTGAGACCGTATACAAGCCAACACACATGTTTAACGGTGGAAATACTGTCAAGATCCAGGCCTAACACGTAACCTCTAGAGAGAACAATATGCTCTAGAGCAAAGTGGAAAACTAGAAGATGGAGTTGTGGAGCTCAGCAGTTGTAGGCAAAGGCGAGAGGCAGCAGGGAGCATGGAGAGGAAACCATGATTTCCATGGGACACGGAACAAGACATGAGACAAGCAATCCCTGCATAGACATGGCGGCATTTAGGAAACCCAAGGATGAAAACAAAGCTCCAGAACTGACCACAGTGACACTCACTGCTCAAGGCAACAATTCGCTCATGAAACTCTCCAAAGCACCTAGCAGAAGCTTCTGATGTAACTGGATGTGCCTACCATTTCATACTGGAGGGGGTTTTCTGTAGAGACTTTTTAAGTCTCTTGTATTGTTTTGCATTTTCCTTCACTATTTCATATTTTTCTTCATATTTTTTTTTATCCTGGAAATAACTCCCTAAGTCCCTAGATCAGTGCTTCTCAACCGTCCTAACACTGCAACTCTTTAATACAGTTCCTCATATTGTGGTAGCCCCAACCGTACAATTATTTCGTTGCTACTTCATAACTGTAATTTTGCTACTGTTATGGATTGTAATATAAATATTTCTGTTTCCCAATGGTCTTAGTTGCCCCTGTGAAAGGGTTGTTTGGCCCCTCCCCCCAAAGGGGCTGCAACTCACAAACTGTAGACCACTGCCCTAGATGATCAAAGTCTAATGTCCTCCCACTTCAAACAGTCCCAGGGCCTTTAACCCTCACGGCTCCAGTCTTGACCTACAGGCACTTACTGATGTATCAGTTGTGGCTGTTCCGGAGGATACCTGTCTGCTTCCTACTCTTTAACTTCAGGTTGTGCGTATGGAACAAAGTGACTTCCTCCTAAAATCGGACATGCAGAAATGCTTTCGCCAAAGGCCTACAGCTATCAAATTATCTCTGGTCTTATTAAAATGTGCTTGGCTCATCCATTCTTGAAAGATTTATTCATTAAGAATGGAATGCCAAGAAGATGTCTTCTTTCCACTCAATAAGGTGCTGTCCAACCAGGTCACAACCTTCCTGAGACACCCAAGGCTAGTCATTTCTCAGAAAGTGGCACTTTCCCCTGCTAAGGGTTCTGCTGGTCCTCAGCATTTAGAGCTTTTACCACCATAAGGCAGGAAGCAAACTTATTTCCATTTCACGTAGTTGGTACCTGTCAATTTCGTAAATTGTACATTGGTGGCTTTTGATCCTGAAAAACTCCTGGATATTACTCTTTAAAGTATTATTTCTACTTTTATGTCTCTTCTTTATAGAAAACCAATTCACCCTCTGTGAGGTTTTGGGGTCCTCACTCCAATCTGATATTCTCTCTTTCACATCTCTTTGTCTCTGTGCTGTATCCTGGACACTCATGGTAGGTCACAGGAAAAAGCTATAGAAGAAAGGTATGCACAAAAGGAAAAAAGAAGTACAGAATGTTATGTAACTGAGGTAGCTAAAGAGAAGCAAATCAATATGGAGAAGAGATAAAATCTTAGACAGGACATGGTATCCCATTCCCCTGGTCCTAGCACATGGGAGGCTAAGGAAGAAAATAGTAAGTTCGAGGCTAGCCTGGGCTACATGGCAAGTTCTAAGTACACAAGATACAGAGGGAAACAGTATCAAGAAAGAAAGACAGAGAGATAGACAGAATGACAAACAGAAAGACAGGCTGGTTGATTTAAATGATAACAGAGGCTATTCTGAAAGGATTCTGATATCAAACAGAATTGTGGATATATACAAAGATAGTTCTGATAACCATTTAGGAAACTTGATTTATAATTGAAAATTCTATACAGAGAAAACTATAAGCCCAAGTGCTTGTGATACAAAGCCTAATGAACACAGAGGACACAACACTAACTCCCCCTGAAAACAGACAAGGAGATTCATGAGCTCAAGACCACCTTCATGGAAAAACTCTAAACGTCCATTTTAAGAAAGAAAAAAACCAAAATAAAACCAAAGGTCAGAATCCCTTGTGCTTATGGTTGCAAAAAACTCCTTGTAAGCAACACATTATAACCAAGTAGGATTTGACCCATTAATGTTAATTCAACAAGCAACAATCAACAAGATTATCATTTGCAAATTTAAAATAAAAATACATATTTCAATAAGCATTTGACAAAAATAAAGCTATCGACAAGACTAACAAAATCATAAATAATCTGTCAAAATTTACCAACCATACATAGTTCTTCACAAACTCCTTACCCACAGCAATCATTGTACTCAGCTAAAACCATACACCACATGAAACACTAAGAAAATCCCACCCCACCCCCAAAAAAGCAGGAATTCTGCAAGGCTAACCAGTTTCATCATGCCTAATCATCACTATGCTGACATGGTAAAGAAGAAAAAAAAATTTTTAATGAAAAACAAAAGAGTACATGGATTGGGATCGTGTAAGAAAAAGCAAAGGAGAGAAAATAAAGTAAGGCTGTGAGATGCAAGTGTGATATTCTAAGTCAGTTGTATCTATATAAGCCAGTAAGAAAAAGTCAAGATTAAACCCGCTACATTTGTAATAGTATGGAAAAGAACAAAATACTTAGAACTAAATTTAACACAAATGCAAGCTTTACCATGTAAAAAACACAAAACATTGTTGGAAGATTTATAAAAGAGCTAAATAAACAGAAGCCATTCTATCTTCCCAGATTCAAAGACTTTCTGTTGTTAGCATGGGAATGCTCCCCAGATTTCTCTGCAGATTTGAGGCAATCCTTGGCAAATCTGCCCTTATTTATAAGAGTGGGCACGCTGACCCCAAATTTCACACTGAATCACAAACAAAACGGAATCACCTGAACACCCCTGAACGACAAGAACAAAGGCAGAATGCCCACCCTAGCCTGGTCCAAAGCTGTGGTAGGTCTCCAGGTGTAGAGTACAGCCTGGCACAAGAATACACACATGAGTCATGGGCTGGAACTGGGAATCCAGAAATAAACCTCATATCTATAACTAGAGCATTTCTTTTTTACTAGGATGCTGAGACTTTTCAACAGGAGAAAGAACAGCCTTTTCAACAAAAGTGTATGACAAATGGATATCCTCATGAAAAAGAGTGGTTCTGGACCCCTGACGCATACCATATACCAAAGCTAACTAACAACAGCTGAAAAGGCTAAGACTGCCAAGCTCTTAGGAGACACATAGCTGTAAAGTTGATTTACATATATTTACTGATGGCCTGGGATTAGGCAACTATTTCTTGAACATGACCTTTAGTAGCCAAAGGATAGAAAAATGGATAAATTGGGCCTGATCAAAATTAAAAGCTTTTCTGGGTCAAATAACACCACTAAAAGTAAAAAGTAAAAAAAGCAATCCATTGAATGGGAGAAATTTTATAACAATGTTATGTTTGATAATGTCATTGTATCCAGGATACACAAAGAACCCCTACAACTCAGCAATAAAAAGACAAGTATCTCAATCAAAAATAGGCAAGGAATTTGAATGCTATTTCTCCAAGGAAGATACACAAATCACTAACAAGCAAAATTCAACACTGCTAGACATGGGGAAAATGCTAAACAATACCACAATGAGGTACTTTCCTACCTGCTAGGGTAGCAATGATGCAAAAGATAACGAGTGTTGAAAAGGATGTGGGAAAAAAAAAATCAGAAATGCATACCCATTTTGTTAAAGGGCAGAACATCGTTGGACGATAGTCGAGCATTTCCTCAAAGCTAAACATAATGTGTTATGTAGGCTACGAGGAAAACTGTTATCAACAGTCCCTGACTCCTTTATGTCACTCTGCAATGGAAGACTGCCACTATAATCAACAGAGTGGTTGTCAGGGGCTCGAGGGGACAGGCGAAGAGGAAAACGGGAGCGGTGGAACTATTCTTTACCATGACTGCATCAACAACTGAAACCCTCATTTCATCAAAGCTCATAAAGCTATGTGTTTAA